CAATACCTTCATTTTATTTGTTATGTTTTATGTGGTGCTGAAGATTGAACCCAGTGCCTCACATGTGCTAGGTGAGCTCTCTATCAATGAACCACAACCCCAGCCCAAATAGATCTTTTTATAAATGAGGCCCTGGTGAGGTTAAGCAATTTAGTACCTTGGGGTCCTGCAAAAGATAACATTGGACAAAAAAGAAGCAGATACCACTGGAATAGAAAAGGAAGCATGGTGGGGGGTCATGGCTCAGAGGTAGGGCACTCGCCTAGCACGTGCGAGGCCCTTGATTTGATCCTCAGCACACATAAAAATAAGTAAATAAAGATATTTAAAAAAAAAAAAGAAAGGAAGCATTGGGCATACACAATAATGAAGTTTGTATTTATTGACTCAGGTTTTATACCTTTTTTATAGTAAAATTAGTTTTAGACTCTGCCTTATAACTAATATTTAATTAACTTATTTGTTCATACTGAGGGTCATAAGCATCAAATGTTTAGTACCCTCAGATTATCTAAGGGAAGGAGAGAAATATTAATGATTGATTTTTTTTTTTTTTTTTTGCATGCAATACTGAGAATCGAACCCAGCGCCTCACACATGCTTGGCAAGCACTCTACCACTGAGCCACAACCCTAGACTTAATGACTGATCTTAATGTGTTATTTGCTTTTCATGTCTTCCTAAAGAACAGGATTTTGAGTTTTCCTGTAAAGAAGGAGTTACTTGGAGTATTAATATTTGCAATTAAATATTCATAGACTTAGGAAACTTGTGCTTATTATCTAAAAGTCTTTTGGGCTGGGGATGTGGCTGAAGTGGTAGTGTGCTTGCCTGGCATGCATGTGGCCGGGTTTGATCCTCAGCACCACGTACAAACAAGGATGTTGTGTCCGCCGAAAACTAAGAATAAATATTTTTAAAAAATTTTTTTTTAAATTTAATTCTTGTTTCTAATCCTGTGCATTAAATATATATGTTCTAAAAGCTTTGGATTTTGATTTTGTGTTGTCTATAATATCATGATCTATGTTTTTTTCTCAGTATGGCTTTTTACTCAAATGGAAACTTCCATTTCACATTTGAAGCTTATTCAAAATCACCTAGTGTAATAGGTTGAATGGTAATCCCTCAAAAGATATGACTATGTTCTAATTCCTGGAGCCTTTGAATGTAGCCTTATTTACAAAAAGGGTCTTTGCAGATATAATTGATGTAAGGATTTGGAGATGATGAGATCATCTTGAAATATGAGCCCCAAATCCAATGAAAAGTGATAAGTTAGGCAGAGGGAGACTTTGAAACAAGAGTAGAAGGCATAAATGCAGGTTGGAGTAATGCAGTCGTAAGTCGGGAATGCCAGCAGCCACCACAAGCTAGAAGAGACAAAGAACAGATTCTTCCTTAGAGCCTGCAGAAAGGATGTGGCTCTGCTAGGTCGACCTCATACATAGTGTCCCAAATATATTCCAACTATCTCCCTCAATTTATTTTTTTTATTTTTTTATTTTTTTTTTTTTGAGAATTTTTAATATTTATTTTTTAGTTCTCGGCGGACACAACATCTTTGTTGGTATGTGGTGCTGAGGATCGAACCCGGGCCGCACGCATGCCAGGCGAGCGCGCTACCGCTTGAGCCACATCCCCAGCCCCTCAATTTAAATAATATCCCATAATATTCAGAAACCACTGCTTAATTCACTGTCTGCATACATCTGCTCTTTACAGACAACTCAATACATAATAGAACATTTTCCCCAATCAATAGGTTCTTTATCATTGTGATCTGCTGCAAATCTGTTATTTTTACCTGCCTAACATCCATGGCACCTGAGTGTTCTTCAGGGAAGGAATTTCTTTCCTACTACTTGCCATTTTCATGGGATTGTCCTTTGAGGTGCCTTGTCTTTTTTTTTTTTTTTGACCAAAAGGTATGTTACCTAGAATTTTTTTTTTTCCTGGTGCTGGATTTAAACCTAAACCTTGCACATGCTAGGCTATTGCCATACTACTGAGTTACACCCCTGAACCCCCTAGAATTTGACTCTTGAGCAAGAAGGCACAAGTACCAAAAAATGGGCAGAGAAAGGCTTGATATTTTGAATAAGGGGAAACTTTTTTTTTTTAGTTACAGGTGGACACAATGTTTTACTTTATGTGGTGCTGAGGATGGAACCCAGTACCTCACACATGCTAGGTGAGCACTCTACCTCTGAGTCACAACCCCAGCCCCCCACCCACCCACCCAATAAGGGAAACTCTTACTAGAAGCCCAGAAATTGAGGGATACTTGAGAAAATTCAATATAGAGAAGTCACCATGAAATAGAGGGGCAAAAGGTATGTAGGGGGCAATTAGGATATGTGACCAAATATCCTGGGATACTTAACTATAGAAGAGGAAAGTTGGCCATATTAGACATGATGATGCTAAAGGCAAATGTGGATGGCATGAAAGTAATGGAAATTTAATATTGATTAGAAAATATAGCTGGGCACAGTGACACACATCTGTAATCTCAGTGACTTGGGAGGCTGAGGCAGGAGGATTGCAAGTTCAAGGCCAGCCTCAGCAATTATCGAGGCCCTAAGTAATTTAATGAGATCCTGTCTCAAAAAAGGGCTGGGGATGTACCTCAATGATAAAGTGCCCCTGGGTTCAATCCCCAACATCCCCCTGCTCCAACAAATAGGTATACATATGAAAAAAGAGTGTGTGTATGAGTGTGTGTGTGTGTATTTTTTTGAGTGAGAAAAGTAATGAGTGAATAGAAAAAAATATGAGGCTATGAGAAGAGTAATGGAATCTTGGTGCAGGGTGGGGATAGCAGTGAATGTTAAGGAACGTCAGAGTGCAGCATTAGACCAACTGGGGAGAAATGCAGTAGATTCTGAAATAAGGGGATTCAATGGGCCTGGATATTTAGGAGTATTAAAGTCACTATTAAAAGATTGTAGAGGCAGTAGGATCTAACCATTGATTGATTGATTTTGGTGCTGGGTATCAAACCCAGGGCCTTGTGCATGCAAGGCAAGCACTCTGCCAACTGAGCTATATCCCCAGCCCCAGGATCTAATCATAGTATCAGCAAAGCAACCAGATATTTGAATATGGGATAGAAAATGGAGACCCAGATTTGGTAGCACAAAAGTTATTATGGAACAATAACAAAGATTGAGGAACAGAGGACTTTGGTTTTGGGATGGGAAAGGAGTCTGTCATCAGGTGATTAGGTGACCAAAGGATATTGGGGGATCATATTCTGAAGTCACCAAAGGATTGTTAAATAAGAGATAATAGGGCATATGTGAATGAGAAACAATAGGAGCAAATGTTTGCAATACACTAGGCCATATCTTGGGATTCAGTGGGAATCAATACTAAGGGATAGTAGAAGATCCAATATACAAGTTTAAAAACTGGAAAAGAGGTGTATATTGAGGTACCTAAGAGCTGTGATTTGAAGAAATGGTGTCACCAATTGTTGGAGGAAATTATTTTAAACTGTGGCTATAAAGCACAGGCTGATGTTAGGGAAACAGCGGATGGCACACTTGTAGCATTGAAGTAAGATGTAGAGGGGCAAGATACCAAGGTACACAGTGATATGGGATTAGGGGAAATCAAAATTGGGAAATGACAAGGCTTTATTATTGGAAAACAGTTTATAAAAACCTAAGCTGGATGAAAGGGCAAATGCCGGAGCTTAATTGGGGGACTGAACTGGGCCAGAAGTGGGGACTAAATCCTGAGGAGTAATAGACCTGCTGTTAGGAGACAGCAGGATTGGATCCTGGCATGTTGGAGCAGACTAGGAAGTCTGAAGGGGCCCATTGTACAGTTGGAAATTAATGGAGAACTAAATACAGAGGAGACTGAAAAAGATTTATTCCATCAGAGGTGCCACGATTACAGATATTTCTGTAAAGAATATGCAGTGTTATAGTGCTGTATTTGGACATTTGACATTCATGAGCAAACAAAGAAAGCAAGTGGGTTAATAACCTGCCACAGTGGGTTCTAGTATTAGAATTTTGGGTCGAAGATGACAAACCCTCCGCAGGATTTCTTCAATGGACACATCCCCCAGCCCCTTCATCTTGGGTCCCATAGTTTGGGAAGGGCTACTGAATAGAGTGAAACTACCCCCAGAGTCCCCGTGAACCCCAGCTAGGGCCTCCAGTCTCATACAGTGGACCCAGCGAAATCGGCCTGCGTCCTGGGAGGTGTGCAGCTGCAGATCCCACGCAGTTCCGATACGTCCTGAGCGTGGCTTTCTGGAACGATGGTCCTCTCTCTGGCTACAGGTCTTGGCTCCGCCTGGCAGCGACAACAAAGCCTGAGGCAGGAAAAGCGCACATTCCGGATCAGTCGGAACCCGGGAGGTGTGGCACCATACCTTGACAAATGCCCCTCACCTTGTCCAGGGTTCCAGCGGTGCCCGTTGCTCAGCCAGGTCCGCCAGCTCCCCGAGCTCTGAGTACTGACTGCGCCAACTCTGAGTCACAGCTGGCTCCTTCTGGGGGTCATGCAGCATCACAGGGCTCTGGCCCAATCTGGGCCAGGGCGCCAATCCTTCCCATGGGACCCTCTCTGGAAGGCCGTGGGCCCAGATCTGGCTCATCCCTTGAAGAACAGAAGGTTGGGCTCACCAAGCCCAAAATGCTGGGCTCGCTGCGCAAGCCCCCACATCACAAAGTGGTAGGTTACAGCGACTTTATCCTAACTATAAACGGGGTTCAATTGCACCCCAGCATTCTAAACATTAGGAGCAGGCTGTGCCCCCGCCCCCTGTCTGCGGGTGCTATTGCACCGTTATTTTTTTGCCAATGGCTACTTTGGACCTTCCTCCTCCTGATGGACAGTTAGACAAAGAGAGCGACAACAGAGATAAAAAGAAACAAGCATCGAAAGCTAGATGAAGGGGGTGCAGCTAATCTCCACAACAAATTGCTGCGCCCTTCTTTCCCTTTCCCTCCCCCCTCCCCTCTGCGCCCACCCCTTCCCGCCCTACCGACTTAGGCAAGCTGTAAATGGATATAGGTGAAGATGCAAGAGGTGATGGAGAAAGCGATAGCCGCGTAAATAAAGATGGAGAGGTGCGGGAAATGATCGAGATAGCAGCCCTCGTCCAGTGGAGGCGCCTCTTCCTTGAGCTGGGGACGAGCGGTGGCCTTGGGGGGCTGCCCGGCGCGGATCCCCTGCGCCTTCCCGCCTGCACGCCGACCAGACTTCTTGCCCGCAGCAGACACCGACTTGGGCGCGCGGGCAGCTGGAAGATCTTCTGGGGGAGGCTTATCAAACAGGCCTTCGGACTCAGGGTCGGAGTCGGTGGGCATGTGTTCGGTGCCCCAGGGTTTGCGCTGAAAGAGACCGTCAGCCATTGGCACTGGGCTCGGGCAGGTGGGGGTCTGCTGGATCCAGGCAATCAAATCCAAACTCGACAGTCAAGTCCGAACCGGGTTGAATGCAGTGGGCGGCGGCTGGAGCTGCAGCTGTATTTCTACTACCCAGAGTGGGGGCACAGGGGGCGGAGCCAGTGAGGTAGAGGGCCTCTGCAGGGTATGCTGGGCCTCTCAGCGGAGGCGCCACTTCCCTTGACTCCTCCTTCTGCCCCCTGCCTGTTGCAGAGGTTGGCTCTCCCAGTTCCAGCTCCCCGGCCAGGGGCCAGAGGCTAGCAAGTCTCCACAAAGCCAGGTTTTGTCTCCCTGGCAACCACACAGGCGTAGATGCAGGCACTGGAAGCTAGCTGGGAACCCCTGGCGGGAAAAGAGGGCTTGGCGCGCAGGAAGCTGGAATGCAGACCACCAGGCACCAGCTGCGTGCGAGCTTCCCCAGGGTTTACTTCTCCTTCCTAAAACTATTGTTAGTATTAGTATTAGTATTAGTATTAGTATTATTTACTAAGTACCAGGGGTTGAACCCAGGGGTGCTTACCACTGAGCAACATCCCCAGCCCTTTTTATTTTTTATTTTGAGACAAGGTGTCGCTAAGTTGTTAAGGCCTCCGTAAAGTTGCCAAGGCTGGCTTTGAACTTGCAATCCTCCTGCCTCAACCTCTAAAGGTGCTGGGATCATAGACGCGCGCCACCGCCCAGCTAAAACAAATATTCATTGAAGAGTTGTATTATTATTATTATTATTATTATTTTGATACATGAAATGGAAATCTTGTAGAAAACTTAAAATTTATAAGCAATATAAAAAACACTTAACAATTTCAAGGTCCTACAATTGCACCGTTAAAGAGTTGATGCCTTTCCCTCCCTCTTTATTTCTCTACCCATCCACATTTGTATCTATACATTGTGTTTTTGTTTTTGTTGTTGTTGTTTTGTTTGTTTTGTTTTGGCTTTTGCACAAGAGGATGAACCTAGGACCTTGGGCATGCTGAGCATGATCCTCAACCCCTACATCCTGCTTTCTCTTTTTGCTATTGAACTACATATGGACTCCAGCGTTTGGGCATGAACCCAAATCCTTTCAAAGACCTCTTATCTGAGCCCATTTCTTTCCCACCCTCACCACCCTGCCCCACCCTCCCCTCTGCTAACTCAAGCCCCTCTCTGGCTTCCACTAGTACTGCCACAGTCATTGGGCATTACCATCTCCTGACATCTCTGTTGCATCTGAGGTTCCAAGGCCGGTTTAGTGGAATGGAGAACTTGGTTTTATATGGTCCCAGTGGGTCAGAGGGGTCCTTTTGCAGACCCTGGCAAATGCAACTCATGGGACTTTAACTGCCATCAGGGAACTTGTTACCTCACCCGCTGGATCCTCCACTAGGACTCAGGTCCAGGATGCTGTTTTTCTCAGTCTTACAGTGTTGCCAAAGACTTCTCCCCCCACCCCTTTGGTACTGGGGATCGAACCCAATGATGCTTCTCCACTGAGCTACATCCCCAGTCTGTTTTTGTTTTTGATTTTCAGACAGGGTCTCTGTTAGGTGCAGGACAGGCTGAGTAAGTTGTCTGCAGGGCATGCCAAACAAAGTTAGCTGCAGGATGACCTGGCCACTCAAACCCTCTGTCTGGTTCTTTATCACCTGTTTGCTTCAAGCCCAAAGGCCCAAGCCCCTGCTCAAGGCTGAGCGCTTCGCCCCCCACCCCTTAAGGCTGAACACTCAACCCCCCTTGTGTGCCAACAAGGCAGCTTGCAGACCCAGAGACCCCATTAGATTTGGGCTATAAAAACTCCCTCCTGCAGGGCCTCTCTCTCTTGTGCTCGCTCTCTCTTTCTCTTGCTCTCTCTTCTCTCTCTCTCTCTTCACCTCTATTTCACTGCTGCAATAAAGATCTCTTGGTTGCTCCAAATGTTGTGGTCACTTTCCTTTCAGTCTCTAAATTGCTAAGGCTGGTATTGCCTTAGCCTCCTGAATCATTGGGATTAGAGGTGTGTGCCACTGGGCCAAGCTGCCAAGGATTTCTTGCATAGGCAGACACTACGAGGTAGTGGTAGGTATTCACTTAATTTTTTTTGAATGAATGGCTCAGCCAAAGGATTAGCTCTTTGCAGCAGACTCACATTCTGCTGCTAACAAAAGGAGACTTAAAACTCCAACTACAAGAGCTGCAAAATATGGATTCTCTTAATCCTAGTCCACTAAAAACTGGTAGCTTCATAAAAGGTTTAGCATACACTTACCATATGACCCAGCAATTCCACTCCTAGGTTTCTACATGAAAGAAACAAAAGCATATGATGACATAGAAACTAGTGCAGGAATAGTCATAGCAGCATTACTGGTAATAGCCCCAAACTGGAAACAATCCAAATATCCATCAAATGGTGACTGGATAAAAAATATATATATGGTTTATCTATGCAATTAAATAGTATTAATACTATTCAGCAATAAATAGAAGTGAACTACTGATACATGCTAAATTTGTATGGACCTCAAAAACATTACACTAAGTAGAAAAAAACTAGATGTAAAAGACCACAGAGTATATGATCTTTTTATATTTAATGTCCAGAAAAGATACATTTATTGAGATAGAAAGCAGATTAGTGATCACCTGGGGCTGGAGTAGAAGAAACCATTAACTGCAGTTTCAAGGCAACTTTTTAGTGATAGAAATGTTCTAAAACTGCATTGCAGTGATGATTGCACACTTCTATACATTTTCTAAAATTAACTGTCTTACATAAAGTAGGTGAATTTTGTTTGATTGTTTGGTACTGGGGATCAGACCCATGCCCTCACATACATTACAAAAGTACTCTAGCACTGAGCTACATCCCCAGTCCTTTTTATTTTATTTTGAGACAGGCTCTGCTAAATTGCTCAGGGCTGGCCTCAAACTTGTAATCCTCCTGTCTCAACCTCCTGAGTAGCTGGAGGTGTGTACCACTATCACAGGAAAGCAGGAAGCTAAAACTCCAAATCTTACTCGGTTCTTGAGTTTTGACAAAAGAAAATTTAAAGTCAGACACCAAAAGCCATGCAAGAGACATTTAATATAAGCCATGGTACAGTGTGGTGGAGCACTCCTGTAAATCACCTCAGCTTGGGAGGCTGAGACAGGAGGATAGTGAGTTCAAAGCCATCCTCAGCAAAAAAGCAAGGTGCTAAGCAACTCAGCGAGACCCCATCTCTAAATAAAATACAAAATAGGGATGGGGATATGGCTCAATGGTTGAGTGCCCCTGAATTCAATCCCCAGTATCTCCCCGCTCCAAAAAAAAAAATTAATTAATTAAAAGTGCTGGGGATGCAGTTCAGTGGTAGAGTGCCCTGGGTTTGATCCCAAGTAATGCCAAGGCAGAGGGAAAAAGAGTTAAGATGGTAAATTGCATTTTATGTATATTTTGCCACAAAGTTGTAAAGAATCAATTTCAAATTGACTGGGGTTGTAGCTCAGTGGTAGAATGCTTGCCTTACATGCATGAGGGCTTAGGTTGGATCCTCAGCACCACATAAAAATAAATAAATAAATAAATAAAATTGTCTTACTCTGCCTCATCACTCCATTCACTACCAGCAAATGACCATGAGCTCCATAACCCTAGGGACTAAGTGGTCCTTATTTGTAGCTATATCCACAAGGCCTGCCACATTGCAACATTCATTTAATGAAGAGACTTGGGGCCTGGTTCCAAACGCTGTTGCAACCACACTTCTATAATATAATAGGTTGTTCTTTTTTATTTTATTTTATTTTTTTGTAACAGGGATTGAACCCAAAGGTGCTTAACCCCTGAGCCACATCCCCAGCCCTTTTTATTTTTATTTTGAGACAAGGTCTCACTAAGCTGCTTAGAGCCATGCTAAAAACTGAGGCTGGCTTTGAACCACCAATCCTCCTGCCTCAGCCTCCCAAGCCGCTGGAATTACAGAGATGTGCCACCACATCAAGCGATGGGTTGTTCTGATTAGTTATGAGACCAGCTAAGTCACCAGTCCAAGTAAAAGGGCCTGGGATTTGTGTCAGTAGTGACTTGTCTAACTATCCCCAAGAATCTTCTCCTTCAGACAGGACTTATAAAGTATTTTTCTATCTTTCAACACAAACACACTCTCAAAATGTTTGGTTGAGAAAAGAGTTACACTATAGCCTGCACTGTGCAATAAGAGCTGGTAGATAGATGAGGAGGCACATAGAACCTTCCTGACTTGACCAAACTCAGTGATGGAAGTGTCTGTGCTGATGTCCAAGAGGGGAGTCAGACCAGGGACCTAGAACTAGTTCTGTGTGACCTTGGGCCAATTCCTTCTCTCCAATGGGTCTCAGTTTCCCACTTAACAAGTGAAGAAATGTCAATACTTTGCAGGTGGGGTACAATCAGTCCATTTCTCATTCTGGAGGAAACGGAAACCAGCTGTGAGGGAAGCAGTCAAACAAGACAGACTGTCATGAGAATATTCATGTCCTTTTATATAATCAGCCCATCCCTTAATATTGATTTTGATGCAACGATCTAAAAGAAAGAAAAGCAAGAGGATGCGTATTGCAGTACTGTTCATCATGGCAAAGAAAAAAAAATGGAAGCAAACTCATTGTCGGAACAAGAGGAGAATAGTTAATTAGATGATGCTGCACCCAGGGCTGGAGTGTAATATGGTTTCCATCCCGAGCTCTGGAAAAACAAAACAAAACTGTGGCTACTGCATGAGTCATCCAGTCATCAGAAATGAGTATCCTGAAAACTCATATATGGCTTGAGGGATTCTTGTGATAATCCAAATCAAAGTCAAAAAGTAAGATTTAAAAGGACAATAAAAAAAATGCTCCTGCAGAGAAAGACTGGGGTGGAAAGAGTAAAGATGGTAATTTTTACCTTATTTGGACGTTGAATTCATGGGTAACCTCTTTCTCATTTTTCCAGATCTTGTGTACCATTGATGTGTGTGTGTGTGTGTGTGTGTGTGTCTGTGTGTGTGTGTGTTTGTGCAGCAAAAAGCAATTAATAGGTGTATCCTGTGATATTTTAGTTGGTGCCCACAAGACTAAGGTCCTTACCCAACTGTCTGGATGGCCCCATATTGCTTAGCAACCACCTGCTGAACAGCAGTTGCTAGGAAACCAGGAACAGAGCTGGTCTCCTGAATAATAGTCCAGCATCAATACCAGTGCCAGCCTCTTGCCCTCATGTTCTCTCTGGCAGT